TACAACAACCAAGACTGATTCAAGGACTAAATTGTCATTTTCAAGGACGTTTCTTCCAAATTCAAGGACCTTTCAAGGAAAATTAGTAATCAAGGACTTTTGGAGTTTTGTAATAATCAAGGAGTGCAAGGACCTTTCAAGACTGTACGAGCCATGTGTAACCAATAGTCATTGGAACTGAGTACTTTACTGTCCTGTTGAAGGGACTCAGGGAGAGTAACTGGAAACTTTTGCAACGATGATTTTCCCTTTATTTACTGCAATTGCATATGGTTCTAATATCAACAAAGCCAAGCCATATGCAAAATAGTTCTCAATATCAACATGACAACAGAAAAGTGTGTTATCGATTCAGAAAAGCCTAGTCATATACTGATGGTGCTAGACTCAGTAAAACATCCAATCTTTAACAATATCAACATGTCAGTGGACATGTAAAATAGCAGTTGTACACCAAATACAATTTAGTAGCTCCTATTTCTATTAGCTTTACTTTCAAGCACTCTATTTGATTGTTATATGACAATAACAAATGTTTTTTGATATTTCACAGTTCAACTGACTTTATTGMACTCTATAAACTGGTACAAGTGCTTTAAAATAACAAACATGAAAAAATATATATCTATATTTTAGGGTGGTCCACGAAAATCGGTCCATGGACCAGTCCATGGATAGGTCCACGATGGCGGTCCATGGACCCCCGGTCCATGTTTTGTACTGGCCCAGCCACTACCTGTACGTACATGTAGCTCACTCCCCAATTTGTTTTTAAATTATTTTTTTGAATCTCTACGACAGCCGTAGCGTATTAGACGCCTAAAGCAGATAGCATCCGATGTGATTGGGTGTTTTTTAAGCTGTCTTTTTTCGGTTTACCTTATCAACTCACCTATTCCTAAGCCTACAATGGCTCTTCCTAACACGAGAATATCTCTTGATTCCGCAACAGCCATCAACACTGCACCAGCAGTGAAAATAGCCGAACAAATCCATAAAAAAGGCCTTCGTCCAAGCTTGTCAGTTATGTAGCCGGCCACCACCGCACCAAAAATGGCCGTTCCAATTGTTATGCTGACTACAAGCTCTTGCCATTCCTGAGATAGAGAGAATTCAGTTTTGAGTAGCAGCATAGCCCCTGAAACCACTCCGGTATCGTATCCAAACAGAAATCCACCTATAGCGGCGAAACAGGTAAGAAGATAGACGTAAAAGTTTGAACTTGCTCTTGTGTGAGATATCAATACTTCTCTCTCGCTTGATTCTTCTTTGTCACTTTGTAAACTGTTGGGGTTATCCGTTGATGAATGAGCCATTTTCGAGTTGAAAATTCATCGAGAGAGGCTACTAGATCAGAGGGTAGTAGCATCGAACCTTTGGTCTTCTGGAGTACCTGTGGTGGATAAGAGTCTGGGAAACAATTCTGTCCAAAATGGCTGCCACAAACATTCTTGTTGTTGACAATGGTGCATACACAGCTAAGGTTAGCCAAAGCAATGCAGAACAAACAAGGTAATCAATGTATAATTACCTTTGCACCTAAAGTGCCAGTTTTGCGTAGGGTCCAGGTAATCGGCGAGTCACGTTTTTGAGCGAGTCAAGCATGGGGTTAATATGGCCATGCGAGTCGTATAAAGCGTGCGATAAAATAATCAAATAGATTATTAACAATATCGCGARAACTAAGAGGAATCACTTTCCTTTACTTGTACCAAAGATATTCATTTCTGTAACTGTCATTTTTATACCAGCAGAACAATTCCAAATTCAATATTTAAAGCAAAGAGTGAGAGGAGAAGGGCATTTATTGGTGATCAGCTSGAGGAGTGCAAAGACTACTCAGGGCTATTTTATGTTTTACCATTCAGTAAAGGATATCTAGTAAACTGGGATGTTGAAAAGCAAATATGGGACCACTTGTTTGGCAAAGAAGGTTTACAGGTAACTTAAAGCTATTCGCATTATTACATCTCTTAGGGGTAAAGCATTTCATAAATAGTGCCAAATTTCTTTTTGATGGATATCTTTAAGTTAAATGTTTTTTTTTGGAGTGAATGTACCCTGTACAATTATTCATAAGTACTCAAGGTTACATGCACAATTTGAAAAGAACATTAATACGCAATGTTATTCCCTTCAGACTCGACAGAGAGTATATAAGTCAGGATAAGTGTACTCTAGACACAGCATAATGAGTGAAAAGAGACTCTATTTTTTGACTTTATGATCTTCTTTATGATCTTCTTTGTGATCTTCTTCATGGTTTATAGTTTTTTCTTATAAATTATCGATGTTTTAAGACATTACAAGATATTAAGGTTAGTCCAAAAAGTGCAAGTCTAAATCACTCGATGTCCAAACTACACTTACTGGCTGTTTTGCGAAGGCTCTGTCAATAAGGTTACATGTATATTAGAATTACCGCAAATCTGCTCTCTTTGGAATCTTTAAGAAGGGAAAAGAACTGGAAAACTGAGTGCGAAATATAAAAGACTAGGGACTTTCCAATRTTGCTATCTAGTTTGTCTGYTAAAAATAAAAGACAAAATGGAAAATTGTGGAAAGTTATAGTGCTTAGGAGGAGGGTTAATCCAGGCTAAAGAACCKTGGAAATAAATTTGGAAAAATTAATTTCAGACCTCTCTGGGTTTCCAAGGGTCATGGATTAATGTTAAAAGTTAATTTTTCTGAATTTATATCCAAGGATTTTCACCTGGAATAACCTCCTATTATCTCCATTTCATGTTTTTTTATAGTACTATGCAGTCCCTGTTCTCTTAAAAAGTAAAAGAGTTTCTTTTTAACATGCATATGTAATTGTCTTTAATCATAGCTTGAGCTTCCATTTCGGCTTACTAAGTTTGGAGGAGTGGTTRAAAAGTCTGAGTGGTGATTTAAAAAAGAATATCCTGAATTATGAGGATTCTTGTCTGGAGTARTATTCAGCTATTTAAACTAAATTCTTGCAGCTCTTCTTGCTCTTCTTTTTTTTAACTCATTACAATATACTGTATCTCATGTGTTATGTCTGTATGAGAATCCAGAAGCAGATTTAGACCAGACTTCACCTTTTCCGGAAACTAGTCAGATTTTTCTCAAAATGTAATAARAAGTAATAATATTATACAATCGAAAAGAATTGTAATCTTTAAAAAGATTATTGAGCGTTAAGCTGAAATTTCGATTTCTTTGGAAAAGCTTACCAAAGAAAACTCACATTGAAATCCCTGGAATATTAACTACTTTTGTCTTGTGTGTCATGTTTGGAGTGTTTGTTATCATCGTATTTTAATTGATTAAGTGTTTTTATAGTCCTTGCTTAGAACTCATTGCATTACATTTCGCTTGTCATAGATTCAACCAATCATATACTTTGCCTATTGTATTAGAGATAGCTTGTTATAAGATACCCGGGCGTCGCCCCGGCCTTAGTTTTGCGGCTTTCGGAGTTTAGTTGGAGTTAGAAGTCATCGGAGTAAACACTAGTTCTTTGGAGTTCATACAAGTTTARCAGAATAYTTCAAGTTTTCTGAACTATTACACCGGAACAAACGTAAGTTACGTCCTTTATTCTACTCAAGTAATTCAATAGTTAATCGTTAGTTTTCTTATAGTTTTCACCGAATTGTACGAATTGTTTCATTGTTTGTGAGAGAGGTCAGAGTGGAGCGGAGTTCTGAATAAAACCCATTCAATGGTACAACTACGATTCTGGTTGGCACTTAGCGTCCCCTAGTACCTGCGACTYACCGGCGACGCGACATTGTGGGAAGGGGACCCACTGAAACTTTTGCCACATGAAAGCCAATCTCCAGGCCAATCTGTGAACTAGTGCAAAATGAAGTACATGTACATGTAAACAGTGGTTCACACAGGTATCCTGACTGTTTCTATGATCAAAGCAGTTCACACAGGAAACCCAAATGCTGATTTCAGCCAATCAGAATCGAGCTTTGACTTGTACAAGGGAATGGTAGAAACTAACCAGAAACTAAGTATAATCCAGTGWYAAACCTTCCCACGTAAGGTTCTATGTTATCTTAAGCAAACTTCACGCCATTCAGTTAAGCAAAGACTTTGAGAGACTATTGCCCAAAATAATATGCTATTGCAACACAATCCGAGCAAAGATACCAGAAATACTGCTGGTGGTACTGTTTAAATAAGTTAGTTTTCTGTCAGAATGTGGTCAAACCCAATCGTGACTTTTTAAATTTGTTTTTCCATAAGTCCAATGTACATGTACATGTAAGCTGTAAATAATTATATTCATGTGCTTTATTAATTAGCATATGTAATACAACATTTTTTTGAGCTTTTTTTTTGAAATTTRTGTTTTAGTTGAACTTTAAAGAAACAACTTTATTGATAACTGAGCCACAGTTCAACTTACCCTCAATTAAGGTTAGTAGAGTGGTTTTATTAAAACTGTCAAATGCGCTTTTTATTTAGTACTATATACTGAGGATACCATCCCAAAAACGATACATGGACAGAGTGCTAAATGTAGTTCAAGTTCTAAATGKTTGTGAAGCAAGGCTTCTAATATTTGAACAATTATTCCAGAACAGTTATCTATAATTATATTATTTAGAAAAAAAGTTTATTAAAAGGATGAGAAAAGGGGGATAAAGTATAATTGCTAACACTACTTGATTGACTTTTGTGACAGGAAGCCATGGATGAAATATTGTTTGAGGAGTATAACTTTTATGCTCTTTCTCGTTCTACTGGTAAGTTTGTGTAGTAAGGACCATGCTGCTCTTTGAAATCCTAAAATCTCTTGCAATATTTTGATGACCTTGCCTTCCATGGATGTTGGCTGGCTTTTTATATTAGATAATAAATGTTGAAACATAGTTTCGGAAAAAAGAGAGGCAATAATGATTATGGCAGACAGGATGTGGTAGACAGGATGTGGCAGACAGGATGTGGTAGAC